CCAGGCACATCTCAGGGGAGTTGTAGTTTCTGTTTGAGTAATCCCCAGAGATCCCAGTTTTTATTGAAAGTGGGGTTGAATTTGTGCAGAGCTCCCCTCCTCCCCCAGCACCTCTCATCACCACATCTATTTCATTCCTCCAACCACGCTGGGCTCTCATCTCAGATTTGCCTGAGATTTTTCTGTCAGCTTTTATCTGCTCCTAAATTCAGTTCAGCTCTGCAGCTGATTCTCCCAGGAATTCATGATAAATTATATTCCCTGTGTTTTTCGTGCTCCTATTTCCCCTCGCTTTGCTTTTGTAAATCTCAGTTTCAAGCCTGCTCTACTGACCTGAAATCCCACATTTATGGGTTTAGAACCCAAATTTCCCCAGTGATGGTGGGCAAAACAGCTGGGAGAATATTTCTGTCCTATTAATTATACAAATTTAGCTAATTCTGAGATCTTCTCTGGTGTTTTTTTTTTTTTTTTTTTGAACTCTCCAGTCCATGCTGCATTTTTTGAGGGTCAGAGGCATCGGTGGAATCAATCCCACTGTATTTGCACTGCCCAAGGCTCCCAATCTATTCAGGGTAAACATTTCTCTGCCAATCCCCACTGCAGGAAGCTTTCCCAAGATATGCTAATGGCACCTCTCCAGTGCTGGAAAAACCCCACAGCAGAGAAAGCTGGGGGGAAAAAATATAGAGAAGGTTCTGGGTTCAAAAGGGAGGACAAAGGAGAAAAGCACATTCAGAATTTGTCTTTTGGCAGGAGGAGAAATAGAATAATTTCTGGAGCCACTCAGGTGACAAAAGGAAGGGTTGGAGACAACAATTTGGACCAGTTTGTGTTGGTGCATGGAATTTACTGATTTCTTCCCTCAGAAAATGAATGTATTGGGAGACCTAAAGCCAAGGATCTTATTTAGCTGAGGTTGATTTTATGGAGAGCTCCGTAGAACAGCTGATTCCAGGAATTTTTGCAAATTCCTAATAAATAGTATAAGAAAACAGAGGCATAATTCCCTATATTTGTCTATAGCAACATGAATTTTTCTCCTGTTTGGTTGTTTGCTTGTTTATTTTGGGTTTTGTTTGGTTGGGTTTAGAGAGGTTTTTTTATACATAGCAAAATATTTTTAAAAATATTTTGAAGACATAAAACCAGGTTTTCTACTTCCTTGCAAATAATCCCAATCACAGCATCATTTCCAAAGTCATAAATTGCTCTGGGATTGGGCTTTTCCAAGGAGAATGTATAAAATAACTGAGTAGGAGGAAGTCACAGGGAGATTTTAAAGGTACTGGGCTGGTTCTTAGAGCCTTTCTCCTACCTCAGACATAAAATCTTCCTCATCCTGACATTCCCCAGTTGGAATTTTCTTTTCATTTTTTGTTGGGTTTTATTTTTTTTCCTTTTTTAAGTTTGGGATTTTAAGAGAAAAAGCAAAAAGAAAACAGAGTTCAAGTTCTAAGTCTGGATCAGAACTCAATTTTCCCTCATTTTCCAGTGAGTGACCCTAAATTGATGAACTGAGGGAAAAGTTCAGTTGCCTTTGAGGGATTTCAAACTTTGATCTCCATCTTTTCCACAAAAAATGTGGAGAGAGGAGCCCACACTGGAGCAGGTCTGCTGGTAGGACCTGTGACCCCAGAGGAGCCCCAGGCTGGAGCAGCTCCTGCAGGACAGACCCCATGGAAAAGGGATCAATTCCTGAAGGAATGACCCCATGGAAAAGGGATCTATACAGGGGCAGTTCCTGCAGGAATGACCCCATCGATAAAAGGAACAATTCCTTATTGAATGACCCTATGGAAAAAGGGAGCAGTTCCTTAGGGACTGGAAAGAACCCACACTGGAGGAGTTCCTGAGGGACTGACCTCATGGAAATGGAATCAGTTCCTGAAGGACTGACCCCATGAAAAAAGAGAGCAATTCCTGCAGGACTGACCCCATGGATAAAGGGAGCAGTTCCTGAAGGAATGACCCCATGGAAAAGGGAGAAATTCCTGCAGGACTGACTCCAAGGAAGTTGGAGCAGTTCCAGAAGGAATGACCTCATGGAAATGGGATCAGTTCCTACAGGACTGACCCTGCGGAAAAAAGGATCAATTCCTGCAGAACTGACCCCATGGAAAAGGGAGAAATTCCTGAGGGAATGACCCCATGGAAGTTGGAGCAGTTCCAGAAGGAATGACCCCATGGATAAAAGGAGCAGTTCCTGAAGGAATGACCCCATGGAAAGGACCCACACTGGAGGAGGTCCTGCAGGACTGACCTCATGGAAAAAGGATCAATTCCTGAAGGAATGACTCCAAGGAAAAAGGGATCAATTCTTGCAGAACTGACCCCATGGATAAAAGGAGCAGTTCCTTAGGGACTGACCCCATGGAAAAGGGATCCATTCCTACAGAACTGACCCCATGGGAAAAGCTCAATCAGGAGCTCCCCCTGAGCCACTGGAAAAAATCAAGAACATTTTGAGGCCAGGAAGAAGAGAAGGGTGGGGGAATGATATTTTTTAAGACTGACTTTTTATTTCTCATTATCCAACCCTGGTTTGACTGGAAATACATGAATTTTTTTCCCAAATCAAGGCTGCTTTGCCTGTCACAGCAATTCCCGAGTGTTCTCCCTGTCCTTACCTCAACCCAGGAGCCTTCCATGGCATTTCCTTCCCCGTGTCCAGCTGAGGAGGGGGTGGCAGAGTGGCTTTGGGGGGTCCAGCACCCCGGCAGGGCCCACCCACCACGAGAGGCTGTGGTTGAACCTCTTGGGACAAAGGAGGGAGCTGAGCCTGGGTATTCATTGTCTGACTGGTTTTGTGTGTAAAATAAGGACACTTTCTGCTGCTGGAATAGGAAGGGAGAGGCTTTCAGCATTTGCACTGTGTATTCCTCACCAATTCCTTGGGATTTGTGGTTCAGTTTCAGGATCAGCATCCAAAGGCCAGACAGTTTTAGTGGGCAGCATCTCCTGGCTGTCTTTCCAATGGTGACAGAGACTGAACTTGGGTCATCTTTGTTTAGGTAAGACTGAACCTATCCCAGATTCCCATAATAAAACATGGAAACCTTGATGATATGAAACCCCACTAAAGAAAGAAAGCAAGAAAAGCTGGAAACAATAACAAGGAAAAGCAGCAAGTTCCTCTATGGGTGAATTTTTACTTTTCCCATACCAGAACTTCCCAATTAGCCCGATAGTACTGGCAAGGAAGCTTTTCCTTTCCCCTTTCCCCTTTCCCCTTTCCCCTTTCCCTTCTGTCTATTCCTGGTGTTTCTCCTGCTTTGTTGAGGCTGCACTCTGGGAATTCCACACTGGTTTCAGGTCCATTTGCAGGGCTGAGATCTTGAGTTCCTAAAAGTGACCTTGGCCAGAATTTCTGTTTTCCCTCTCCATCCCCTCCCTACCCCTCGTGCTCCAGTCCCTTGTGAAAAGCTCATTCTTTACTTAAATTTCTCTGTCTGTCCATGGTAAAAAACATATTTAGAAATCAAAGGTGCAGTTGTTAATGACAGCACATTCATTTGGTTATGACTGTGCTCAGAAGAGAGTAAAACATCACATAATTAGGCATAAATAGCATTATGCATAAATAACATTTTCCATCCATCATTTCTAAATCATGACTAAAGTATTTATAAACTTTACCATCAAGTTTTACCAAAGTCCTCCTGACAGTCATTATATAATGTATTGAATGCCAAGCAGCATAAAATACCACCAAAAAAAAAGAGGGAAATGTTTTTGAATCAGAATTCCTCTATTCCTCACAGATCCATTATTCATCTCCACTAGATTAGTCACACTGCTCATATAAGCCAAGGACCACTGAGAAAACAAATCTCTGAGCAGAACTTTGAAAAAGTAAATAAAAATACTCACATTGACTTTTTAGAATGTTCAAAGGATTTCAGACAGATAGAGTAAAAATGATCCAGTGTGTGCTTTTCCCACTAGGTTTTTTCCAGTTTCTCCAGCCAAGAAGCTTCCTCTCCCTGATTGATACACTCCCTCTCCTATTCCCAGCTTTTGCCTTTTAAACTATCTCCCATGCTTTAAAGAAATATGGTCTGCAGCTTGTATTAGCAGCAGCAAATGTTTGGTCACGAAACTTTGGGTGTCATAATTAATACCAATTATCAGAGCCCTATGAAAATACTTTCGGAAAATTCATCAAATTCCAGCTCCAGTTGTGGAGGGGGAAAAAAAATTAAGTTGACCTTAACAAAACAACTTTATTCTCCTTAGAAAACTGAAATTGAAAACCTGACCCGAACATGAGCGCTGAGAGTTTTTAACTTGGGCATATTTTTTGCAAATATCATCCATTTGGATCAGTCCATCAACTCTGACAGCTCCGGCAGAGCTGCACGCCTGTGTTATCACTGCACAGCACACACAGCATGCACCCCCTTCTACAGCAAGGACAGCAAAAGAAAACCCCCACATTCACAAGTTTGAAGGGAAATTAAAAAAAAAAGACCCCAGAACCCTTATTTCAGTTTTAAACAGCCGTATTTTTTCTGGATAGGAGCTTTTGACAAACCCCCCAAATGCTGTCTGAGCAACAAGAAAGAGCCTTGAGATTTCCTTCCCTCCACCCTGATTAGAAATGGGATCCATGCCCCAGCTGGATATTTCCAGTTCATGCCCAGTAGAAATAATTTTCTGTCCTATTGCCAAACGTGTCCCATGTGGCCAGCAAAGGCTGGACAATAGCAGCAATACAGCTTCCAGAAAGGAGCTGAAAACGATCCCCTGCAACCGGAGGCCTCGATTCTGCATAGCTGCATCATTCCAGCACCAAGATTCCGCTTCCTTTTTTCCCCTTTCAAGTATTCAGCTCGAATCCATCCCATTGCCAGTGCTTATGGCTCCCACCTTGTCTGAGGGGACATGTCCTAGAAGGTCGATCCCCAAATCTTCCACTTCACCAGTAATCCTCAGGCACACCAGTAACCCCACTGAACATCAATATAGGACGGCGGTGCCGGGGCAAGTTAAACAAATCCTGAGGAATCTGTTTTATTAGCATTTATAGGATTTGCGTGCGTGAGCGGCTGTGTGTGTACAGCCACACTTGGGAGCGGTAGTTACAGGGGAAAAAAAATCCGGGGGATTCCTCCGGGGACGATCAGCGCTGCTGCTCCTCGAGCTGGGAGCGGGGCTGACGGTGCAGACTGGAAATGTTCAAATATCTGACGCTGTTTTCTTTCCTGTGGAACTTGGTGGGATTTCTCACAGTTAATACTTCAGCTAAGCACATCAGACTAAAGTTAAGCCCCGCTCTGTGCTCGGCTCCTCAGCCCCAATTTCCTCCCCAACCTCCACGGAGGGAAAAAAAAAAAAAAAAAAAAAAAAAATACAGCAAGAAAGCCAAGTTATTTTGGGGCAAGAGTGGCACTTTCAGAGGATGGCAATCCCCGTCCTGCTGCCTGTCCCTGGAAACCTCGGCTGGAGCGGCCCTGGGAATTCCTTTGGATCCCGGGAGGGGCAGGGGATGGGAAGGGAGCGGTGCCGGGGGTCCCCCCCCCACTCCTGAAAGATGCGGAATTGGCCCAAAAAAAGTGTTGGATCCTCTCCCTTGGAGGCTCGGGCTTGTCCCCAAGGCCACCCAGACACGGGCACCCACCCGCGCAAGGGAGCTGCCAAAAGGGTTTGTTTTGGGGTGGATGGGGGAAAAGAGTTTGTTTTGGGGTGGATGGGCTTCTCACCTCTCGTTTTCCTCTCTGTTTTCCATCTCCAGTTGAAACCCTGGGAAGGGAAAAAAAAAAAAAAGAAAGAAAAGGAAAACGAGGAAAACGTTGGAAGTGTTCCTCTGTTACACAGCTCACCTGGAGAAGAAACTCTCTCCCTCTCTTTCCCTTTTGGAGGGTTTTCCCCTCCAAGCAAAGGGAAAATGTTGGTAAATAATAGTGGGGTTTGTGCGCGCCCGGTGTAGGATTCCAGGACAAGGTATCCGTGAAAACATGATCTGAATATTTAAATAATAAATTGTTTCACTTATTCTCCTGATTTATTTTCGTCCCGACGAGGTGTTTTTTTTTAGGAAAAGGGTGACAGGGAAGTCCCTGAAGCCACCTCAGACTCACAGCGAATCCACCTCGATAGATTTGGGCCACCCTTGCAGCACCGTGATTTTCTCTTTTTCTGTCGGGATTCTCTTGAAAACATTCGCAAATCTGCCCTTTCTCCAAACCACCGCAATTTGCTGGAAACACAACACGCTCCCCTCTCGCTCTCCTTTGCCACCCCGTCGTTTGTCTCTATATTTTGTTCACAGGACACAGAAATGTCCCACATAAATTCCTTTTCGGGGTTGGCGATCACCAAGCTCGTTGAATCAGACCCGTTAGGACCTGCCTTGATATACAGCTAATTTTCCGCAAAAAATGAATATATCTCTATAGAAATAAAATATTTTCCTCCTATATATCTATGTATCTATATATATATATTATTTTTTACCTCTGCTCATATGTCCAGTTTCGGCGGCGGGCGGAGGTTGCAATTGACTTTTGAGAATTTCCCCGAAAGGCTGAAGTTTCTTTTCGATGGCTGGTTTGGGTTTTTCGGTATTGGGGTATTTTTTGTTGTTGTTTTTTGGTTTGTTGTTTTTTTTTTTCCCCCTAAATTAATTTTCGTTTGTTTTGCTCTGCAAAAAGTCCCAGCCGGAACACGCTTCAGTTAAAATGAAAATAAAAACACAGCGCTGGGTTAAATCTGACATCTCCACTGTGCCCAGCAGAGGTGTCCCCATAAAGAGGGCCACGGGGCTGCTCTTTTCCCCTATTTTGCGGGTAAAAAGGGCAGAGCGGGAGGGGAAAACGGGGCACATCTCTTTTCGCTCAGCTTTCCTTGACCTGCGAGCCTAAATCCAGCCGAAATCCCACCCATTCCCTGCTCGCCTTCCCTGCAGAAGCCGCCGTCGCCAGGGGACGGGCGCGGTGCCGGTACCTGAGCCAGGAGGGGATGGATTTGGGGCCATTTGGGGCCGTGCGGGGCAGTCCTGGGACCCTCCAGGGCTCCGCTCGCCCGCAGCTCGGGCTGGAGGTGCCGCAGGGTCCCCGCTCGCCATCCCGGGGCTGCGGTGGCCCGGGAAGGAAAAAGAGCTCGGCCTTTCCCTCGGCACGGCCGGGCCGGGCTCTCGCTGCTCTGGTGGGATCATTACAGAGCCCGGGCGAGCTTCAGCAGCCTCGCTGCCCGCCGGCCAGGCCTCTGGATTAATGTGAAGGACCGGGGCACTGTGCCTCCCATCCCCCTCGGGATGCGGGGCCGCGTCTCTCCTCTCCTCTCCTCTCCTCTCCTCTCCTCTCCCGGTGGCTCAGGGGACCCGGGCCGTGTCCCCGTGCGGGTGGCACAGGGACACACGCGTGGCTTTGTGTCCCCAAAAGCTGCTCAAGGGCTCCCGTCGGGTTAAACCCGGCCGGGCGCGGCTCAGTCCTGCCCGGGCTGGGCTCAATTCCCTCACTCGGGACATGGCGAGGGACTCGTGGCTTTTGTGACAAAGCTCTGCAGAGGTGGCCCCGAGCTCTCCGAGGCAGGGGTCCCGGGGGTCCCGGCACCTTCTGCTCCGGCAGCTCCGGGGTTAAGCCCCGCTCAGCGGAGCCCGGCGGGGGCTGAAGAGCCGCGGCTGCCGGCGGGGCGGCCCCGCCGGAGCTCGGCCCCGTCCCCGGCGTGTACCAGGGCAGTGTGTACATATTTGTGTACGAATGTTTCTATAAACATGTAAAATGTGTGTCACACAGCATCGATGAGTGCCGTGCCTGCCCGAGCCAGACCCAGGCACGCTTCACCCAGACCCGCAACAACGCTGGGAGCTCTCGGGTGGTTTCCCGGCGGTGCCGCGGGGCTGGGGAAGGGCCCCACGCGTGTCACAACCCCGCACACCCCCGTGTCCCCTCCCCAGCGGCCCGGCTGGGGAGACACGGCCCCCTCGGGGTCACCGAGAAGGGCAGCGAGGGGCAGGGGGCTCGGCCCCAGGCGGCGGCCCCCGCCCCCGGCTCCCCCCGGGCCGGCCTCCCGTCCCCCCGCAAGTGCTAATTGCGGCTCTGCGCCGGCTCCTCTGGATTTGGGTCCCTCGGAGGGCGCTGCGCGGGAGGACACGTCACGGATACATTATCCCCTCCCCTCTTGAGGCTCTCCTGGCTTTCTGCAGCCTTTGCTAAAGAATTAAGCGAGAGGTCCACTTCAGAGCTCCTTCTGCCCCTGGGAAAAAAAAAATAAATAAAAAAAGGCGAGGAAAGAAAAGGAAAAAAAAAAAAAAAAGCGGAGATATCGGTGCTTTCAGACGAGGAGCGTGGCGGCTGTGATTTCCGAGAGGAGGGGAATTTTGCCTTCGATCCTTGCCGGATTGCGGGAGGTGAATGTAGCAAACCCTCCCCTTGCCTTTGAAAGGCATGTCTCTGCCAAAGAGCTACCGCTTCGCTCTTGAAATACGTGACAAATAAAAAAGAAACAAAAAATATAGAGAGAGGAAAGACTCCTATCTTTCAAATTCTTTTTCTTTAAAAAGGAAAAATAAAAAAGAAAAACAACAACAAAAAGAAACAACCAAACCAATAAATAAAAGCAACAAAATCAATGCCGCGCCTTTGCCAGCGCTCGGACTTGTTTGGAAAGAGACAACGCTGAAGTGGCACTGGTCCCGAGGAAAACGGATCCTTTAATTTGACTCTGCATGAGAAGCGCATTTGGAGCCGGGCGCAGCGGCCGCAGCGGCAGGAGCAGCCCCGCAGCCCCCGCAGCCCCCGCAGCCCCCGCAGCCCCCGCAGCCCCGGCGCGGCCGGAGCCCCTCGGGCACGGGCGGAGCAGCAGCGCCCTTCGGGCCGAGCGGAGCGCAGGGGCGGAGGGGAAGGAGAGCCGCTGATCCCGGAGCACTCCACCATCAGCCGCAGGCACCGGCTGTGACTTTGGTTCGTCGTGTTCTCGGCATCTCGGGCTCCGGGACCAGCTCATTTTGCACTTCGTTCGACGAGCAGCGCCGTCGTTCTGTTCCCTTTTTTTTTCTTCTTCTCCTTATTTGAGAGACACGATGTCCAAAAATGGTTCAGCCTGCTTAGCCCAATGATTTCTTGCACGGACGCTCTATTTTCCTCCTTTTCTTTTTTAATTATTATTTTTGGATGGGGCAGGATCGAGTAGAAGAAATCGTTCGGTGAAGGGACCCCAGCGGTTTGCCCCCCATTAAGGAGAAGATCAAGATCCGATTCCCAGCTGCACGCAGAGGACGGAGGCTGCCGTGGATCTTTCAGTCTGGCTTTCAAAGCCCTCGCTGCTGCAGGGTCAGAGCAGAACTGCCTTCTCCGAGCGGCTTTCCTGTCCTGCTTGCAGCTCAGAGATCGCCTCCCCCCTCCTCGCACCATTTCTGTTCGTGTTCGTTTTGTTCGGTTGGTTTAGCTTTATTTTTTTTCTCCCCCTTTTTTTAATCTTTTTTTTCCGCCCCTTTCGTTTATTATTATTATTAATTATTTGATTTGATTGGGGTAAATTGCCTTCCTTAAACGAAAATACTAACTCTGCAGTCGAAATCCATGCCCCCTGCCATTCGGAAGAACCGGGTCTAATATGCCAGTGACATCCGCGCCTTGCAGCAGTCGCGATGAAGGAAAAATCCAAGAACGCGGCAAAGACTAGACGGGAAAAAGAAAATGGAGAATTCTACGAACTGGCCAAACTCCTGCCCCTGCCCTCGGCCATCACCTCGCAGCTGGACAAGGCGTCCATCATCCGCCTCACCACCAGCTACCTGAAAATGCGAGCCGTCTTCCCCGAAGGTAAAATCAGCTCCGGGAGGGACGGGAGAGAGCGGGGAGGGGGTGCTGGGCTGGCCACGACCCCAGCAGCGCCCTGGCAGCAGGCAGGGGATGCCTGCAGGGGTCTCAGAACGGGCTGAGCGAGCGAGGGGCGATTGAGGGAAAAGCGGGCTGGGAATGAGCCCGTCAGCCCCAAACCCGGCGGCGGTGGGAGGCAGAGCCGGCAGCTTCATCCCCCCTTTTCCCCCTCCTCCTCGGCTGCCGCCTCAGCTCCCTTGGCTCTTGGGGACCGTCCCGATGAGAGCGGGCTCGGTTCGTGCGTGCAGCCCCGGCCCGGCTCCCGGGGACGGCCTCGGGTTGAAAAACCAACTGTGGGGCTGTTGTTATTATTATTTTGTTTTGGTTGGAGTTCTCTGGAGCCAGGGAAGCAGGCTGGGAAGGAAGGCGCGGCCGCTCCGCAGCGAGGCCCTGCGGCTTCTCCCGGGGAGAGAGGGGAGAGAAGGAGGGGAAAGAGGGGAAAGAAGGGAAAGAGCGTCCGAGCCCAGCCCGGCCCGGACCCCGCTGCTCCCCGGCCGCGCCTGGGCTCCCCTGGCTCTTCTCGGGGACACCCAGCAGCGAGGCCCGGCATCAGTCCCGCAGGGTTTGGGGGAAATCATCCCCTCGGGAGGCTCCTGCCTTCCCCCGAGCGCCCTTGGGGCCGGTGGCGAGCGGAGCCCCGGCCGCCCGGGCTGTGGCTGCGGCCGCGGAGCTGATGCGAGCGGCGGAATGAAGCGCTGGGCAGCGCCTGCGGGTGGCTAAATAAAGGCCAGCAGCTTTGTCATTTGCTTGTGCCTCTCCGGACTAGGAGCAGGGTGAAGGAATTAGCGAATTCCGCAGGGGAAGGTCTGCTCTCCGGCGCGGTTTCTAAGGAGCTTTATTAAAAGGCTAAAAAGAAAAAAAAAACACAACCAAAAATAAAATAGGGGGAGGGCGGGGGAAAAAAAAAACCCTCCCAACCCGAGCAAAGCTTACCGTCGTGGCCTTTTAATTCAGAAATTTCGGGAGACACGGAGCAGCCGTGCTATTATGGGAAGCCAGGGCTCCTTTAGTGAGCCAGCGGAGCAAAGGGAGCGAGGCGCTGCTCCGCCGCATTTTCCAGCCATTATTCCCCACCGGGAAATACCCCGATGAGAACTAGAGCGTCGTAATTTCGAGGGGGGCTGTGGGGAGGTCACTCGCCGGCCGTGCCTGGCGAACGTGCCCCCGAACGCCTTTGATTTAGGAGGGAGGAAAAGCGGCACGTTTCGAGATGCTGCTGGATGCGTCCCGGCTTTTCCAGCCCTGCTGATCCTCAAGAGCAACGAGCCGACCCCGAGAGCAGGTTTATACCCACAGCTCGGGTGTGTTTTATGTGTCTGTCTTCCCTAAACAGGCCGGGCGTGCGCTCCCGCACACTCTGCTTATTAAGGGCAACGTTTAAATGCATACAGCGAATTCCTGATCTTTCATCGTCTTAAGTAGGGCTGGAAATACATTTAAAACCAAAGCTTTGCATCCAGGGATGACAGGCCGGGGGAATTACCTCCTCCGGTCCCCGAGCCCTGCGTTTAGTGCCTGGCAGGGTGCAGGGGAAAGGGGGGAGCCGGGAAGAAGCGGCCGCAGAAGGATTTTTTTAGGGGGGGTTTCTTCCACGCAGTCCCGCATCACCCAAACTTCCCTCTCCCTCGGGATTTGCCCGTGGAAGGAGGGGAGAATGGTCCCTATCCCTCCGTCCTTCTGTCCGTCCTTCCTCCCCCCTCCTCATACTCGGCTACTGGTTTCCAGTTGGCTTTACTGGGAGGGGAAACAGCCCGGAAAGGCGTCCCAGCTTAAATCCTGACCCATGGGTGCCGGGCCGGGAAGTGAAGGTGGGCACGTAGCAGCAGCCCGGGCTGCCCCAGCCGCCACCCTCTGAGGCTCTGAGAGGTGACAGGGCGGGGGGGACAGGTCTGAGACGCCGCCAGACCCGTGCTAGGCCCGGACTAACTGCGGCCAGCACGGCCAGAAGCGCTGTTCAGCTGCAGACCTGGCTTACAGCTCCGTCTAGACTGGAGAGAAAAAGAGAGAGAGAGAGAGGGAGAGGGTTGTGTTTTTAAACCCCTCGGTGGATGGCTCGCCCCCTGATTTCCACACGTAGTTTAGGAAAAGTTTGAGACCCTCAGCGAGGTGACTGATCCCGGCAGGGCTTGGGCCAGGTCTCTGCTCAGCCCGGCCGGGCTTTTCCCGAGGATGGACCGAACCCGCTGGGCTCTAAGGAGCGAGAACGAAAGGGGATTTTTACCCCGGCTCCTTTCGCCCTGCAAGGGACAGGTTCGGGCTCCGAAATCGCAGATTGTGCCCTGCGGTACTCCTGCGACCTTGAGATTCAGGAGTTAAAGTCAGGACACAGAAACCTCCAGCCTCCCGCTCTCTAACACCGTCTTCTCTCGTGTTTGGGTTTGGTTTTGTTTTTTGTTGTTGTTGTTGTTGTTGCCACGGCTTTGTTGCTGTAGAACAAAAATACACCACGAGTCGTCTTTTATCTCCGCTGTCAGTATTTTATTTTATTTTATTTTTATTTTGAAAAGGAGCTAATGAAAGAAAGAGAGGCGAGAATGAATCGCGTTTAAAAACTGCGATTCTCTGCCCCCCGGTTACGGCAGACTGGTGAAATCGTCACCCTCTCCCTCCCCCATCCCCGACTCAGTGCCCAAAACCGATTATGAAATTGGACATTTATGGTTGTTTAAACCGGATGGGAGCCAGCTAATTAATATGTGACCCAAAATACAATGTGCGCAATACAAAATAATCTGAATAAAGTGACGGAGCGGTGGATCTCAGACCTTCCTTATTCCGCGAGGCAGACAATAGAAATTACTAGGAATATTCACAGACTTCGGTCCCCACTTAAACCTGGCCACGAATGTATATTTTAAGAAAATCAAGGCGAATCGCAGCTAATTCATCTGATTGTCACACGAGCTCGGAAAAGGTTCGTTTAATGAATTAAACAAATAAATAAAGCGCCAGGCGTGAGTAATCCCTTTTGGAAAGCCAACCCCTATTGTACTAACCACTAATAGTGACATTAAAGGTCTTTCTAAAACAAAAGTGCTTTTTTAAGGCTTTTCCCGGGGCCGTTCCCAGGCGGCGGGAGCGGCGGCCCCGCGGTGCGGGCACGGGCGGCGGGGTCGGGGCGGGGACGAGCGGCGGGGTCGCTCCGGTCTCTCCCGGCCGGAGGGAGAGGAAGGGCGGGGGTCACTGCCGTGGGTCTGCCCGTGACCTCCGTGTCTGTAGGACGCCCGCTTTGGGGCCTCTTAAGGCGACCTGGTGGGTTGGGCTCGGCGGGGAGAGCCGGCTTTGCGCGGGTGTCCTGCGGGGCAGATTTGTTAGAGTATTTTTTTTTTTCCCCGCTTTTTTTCTTTTTAATTTTTTTTTTCTAGGAGTTCACACTTTAATTTTTTTTAAAATTTAATTTTATTTTTATAAAAGAAAAGTCTTGATCTTTCCGCCCGTCCTTCCCACCGCCTTCCCGACGCTGAGCCCGCGCGTCCCTGCCCGGCCCTGCTCCTTCCCAGACCGGCCCCGACCTGGGGGCTTCCCCCCTCTCAGGGGTTCCCCCGGCCGGGCCCGGGTGTTCCCCGCTGGCTCCGGGCCCATCGCGGCCCCCGGGATCCGGCTGAGATGCCCCGGCCCCGCTGCAGAGGGGGCTCGGTGTCAGCGCTGCCCTCGCCCCCTCCTCACGGGGTGACAGCAAAGCCTCGGAGTTCCCCTCAACGAGGGGCACAAAGCTCGGTGGAGCTCGGGGACACCCCTCGGGAATATCCCCGAGGCTCTGCAGGTCGAGGGAGGCACAGCCGCGCCGGGGAAAACCCAAAAAAGCAGAATTGACGGAGAGCCCCCAGGGTTTGTCGTTGTTCCGTGTAAAAGCTGGGGGACCTTGGGCTCCGGGGCACAGCCCAGCAGACACAAAGGAAACAGTCCAAGTTACAGGGCAACCCGATACTGAACGTAATACATGGCTGAGTAATTCTTGTAGCAGAATCCCAAGCTGAAAAGCTACCGGGCTTTCAAAATGTGTGTGTGGACGAACTTCTGTATGCCGACAGCAAAGGTGGGAGCCGTTCCCAAATATTTCTAGATCTTGTTACAGTTCCACTCACCCCGCTGGCTCCCTGGAAACCGGGAAATGTACAAATGGTACAAAGTGAGTGCTGAGGTACTTTGAAAAACATCCAGAGATGTCAAAAGGGACGGAGGGCGATTTTGTCCGTGTTTGCACGGGGAGCGAGAGGCGTTTGTACGAAAATCCCCCAGTTTTTCAATGGCAAAAGCAGCAGAAATTTTGCGGTGTTTGTTTAAAACCCCGTCTGACTCCGGGCCGGAGCTGTCGGAGCCGGAGCTGCCTCCCGGTGCCCGGCGGGCACGGCTGCGCTTGGGGCTTCGCCCTGGGGGGACAGACACCGGTCCGAGCACCTGGAAAAGCAGGAGAGGGGCTCACCTCGCCCATGTCTGCTGCGGAGAGGTGCCAGAAAAGCGGACGCTGAGCCTGGGGCTGGGCAGGCACATTCCCGCTGCCGGAATGCCCCCAGCCCGCTGGATCTGGGCGATCCCTGAGCCTCTGGCACGGCAAAGGAGCCGCGCTGGGGCCGGGCCACCCCCACGGGTGTTCCCAGAGTTTGCTGGGATGCTGCAGGGAATTCTCTCTCGAGGCCCGGTAATTCCTGCTGCGAGGGGACACCTGGAAATGTCCCTGTGCGGTGACAAAGCCGTGTGGGACACCCGGCAGCATCCCCAGACTGGGATCGCCTCCCATCCCAGGCAAGTCCCATCCCGCAGGAGGGTGCGGGGAAGGCTCGCTGTGGATCCGCAGCGATTTTGGCCAGGGAGAGAATTTGTGTTATTTCCCGGCCGGGCAGGGGCAGCCAGGCCCAGCCTATGGCATCCATACATTTACAGGGACGCGCGTTTGCAAACGTCTGGGAGGAGAAGTTAATGGGCGTTAGTCCTTTATTCGAATGTAAGGTTTTATTCGTTTCGTTTTCACCTTTAAAGCGATCTGCTGGCGGATTAAATGATAAAATCGCCGGCTTTAAAATAAGCTCAGACGAATGCCAGGCTGATCCACCGAACGTGTTTACGTTTGATGCGCGTTCGCGTTTGCGACTCCAATTTAAAATTCCAAAGGGAGCGAATCTGAGCAAGTGACATTTTTTATTCAGGGTTAGGAGAAAAACTCAAAACTCGTGCAGATTTTGGGATGCTGAGAAAGGACAGGACGGAGCGAAATGTCTCGCACGGGGGGCGCGGAGACGCGGCTCGTTCTTGAAGAGTTTCGTGAGAGATCCAGGAATAAATCTGCTCCGACTTTCGGAATGGAAGAGCTCAGGGCAGTTTTTACACAGATGTGTGAGATTCTTTGTAGGCTGGCAGTCTCATATTTCGAAATTTGTAATTAGTAAATCGAAATAAGGGCAAACCCCGCGGCGCAGGGACAGACTCTGGAGTTTGCGTTGTTGCCGTCTCGGGAAAGAAACTGCGGGATGACTCCGCGATTCCCAAACTTTTTCTCCCGAGAAACAAAAAAGCCTTTTAGCACAAAGGACATTTTTGCCGTGTCTCTGGAAGTTTAGGAGCCTTTTCCAAACGAGGAATTGGGGAAAGGCGGAGAAAAGCGCGGATTTTCGTTTGGCTCTCCCGAACAAATTTCCCAGCGCTTCTTTCAGCGCAGGGAAGGTGTGCTTCCCTTTCCCACGGGAAAACGCCGGAATTCCCGGAATTTGGAGACACGGACAAGGGGTGGGGATGCAGACCCCTCTTTTTGGGTGCTGCTGCTGCCTTGGGACGGCGAAAAGGAGGGATCAGTGCCAGCCCAGGTCCCCGGTATCCCCTGCCTGGCTCGGGAAGATCCTTAGCGCTTTCCCGGAGGGAGCGGGACACGGAGCCAAGCACCGGGAAAGGAATTAAAACCCTGGGAGAAGCACCGCGTCCTCCCCGCCGCCTCCAGCGGGAGATCCTGCCCATCCCAAGGGATGCCCCAAGAGTGGAGAGAAAACCCCCCCATCATTCCCAGACCGGGTTTAAGTGGTCAGGGCACAAACGGATCCGGAATCGCGGCGCTGGAGCTCAGGGCAGGACTTTCTGCCAGTTTTCCCTCCCGTTCCGGAGGCACAGCCGGGAGAAAGGAGATTTCTTTGGAAGCCCCTGGGCGGCCAGAGGGGGGAAACGCGGGACTCGGTTTCATAGCGGGGCATCCGCAAAACGGGCCGGAATTCCAGGCTGGCAGCCCCGAATCCCCGCCTTTCATTCAGGGCTACCTGCCAAAAAAACCCTTCTTGGGTTTTGAGGCCTCCCCGAAGCCGGGGGTTGTTGTTTCTCCCCACAAACAAGGCACAAACGGATGCGGTCCCGTCCTTCCCTTCCCCTGCACCCCCTGGGCAGTGACCCCTCTGCCACCGGGAGCCCCAGGAGTGCCCAGCCCTCGGCATGGCACAGGGAGCCCCGGCTCCTCGGGGAGCCGCTGAGAGGCTCCTTTTTACCCTGGAAAATCAACCAGCCAACCAAACAACCCAACCAACCAGCCACCGGGAGCCCCAGGAGTGCCCAGCCCTCGGCATGGCACAGGGAGCCCCCGGCTCCTCGGGGAGCCGCTGAAAGGCTCCTTTTTACCCTGGAAAATCAACCAGCCAACCAAACAACCCAACCAACCAACCAACCAACCAACCCAACCAACCAACCAACCAACTAGCCAACCCAACCACCCAACCAGCCCAACCAACCAGCCAACCAACCAGCCAACCAACCAACCAACCCAACCAACCAGCCAACCAACCACCCAACCAGCCCAGCCAACCAAACAACCCAACCAGCCAACCAACCCAACCAACCAACCAACCAACCCAACCACCCAACCAGCCAACCAACCAACTCAACCAACCAAACAACCAACCAACCAACCAAACAACCAACCCACCCAACCAACCCAACCAACCCAATCAACCAACCAACCAACCAGCCAACCAACCAACTCAACCAACCAACCAACCAACCAACCAACCAACCCAACCAACCAACCAACCAACCAACCCACCAAACAACCAACCCAACCAGCCAAACAAACACACAACCCAACCAACCAACCAACCAACCAACCCACCAAACAACCAACCCAAACAACCAACCCACCCACCCAACCAACCCAACCAACCAGCCCAACCAACCAACCAACCAACCAACCCAACCAGTGCACAAACCCCGGCCTCGCCGCCCCTCCTCGCCCCAAGGCGGCTCCATCTGGAACTTTCCACTGCCCCGGGGCAGGCTCGGGCCGTGGGCTCGGGTTTGGGGTCAGATTTGGGCTCGGGCTGAAGGGTTGATGGGGCTGGAGGGTGAAGTTCTGTCGGTCCCGTCCATGCACGAGTGAAATTGGGGCAGTTTATCTCCAATCGAGCTGCTGCCCTCTTAAACCTCCTCCTCATCCTCTTCCTTGGCCACCCCACTCACAAGGACAGGGTCAGGGACAGGGGACGGTGCAAGGACAGTGGGAGCAGATGCAGCCCGGTCCCTGGAGCAGCTCTCCCGGGAATTCAGGGAAAGCTCATCCACGGGGATGCTCCGCTCCAGAGAAAGAACAATTCCCCTCCAAAACTCGTGTGAAGAAGGGACTCAGCCTTTGCCACCGCGGGAGGAAGGGGACCAGGGGCAGGGGGGACAGCTCGGGCTCCGCTGCCTGCTCTGACCAAATCCTTGGGATTTTTTTGTAGGTCTGGGCGACGCCTGGGGACAGCCGAGCAGGATCGGCCCTTTGGATAACGTGGCCATGGAGCTCGGATCCCACTTGCTTCAGGTACTGTTGTATTGCACTAAACAGCTTTTCCTCCTCCTCCTCCTCCTCCTCCATCTCGTCGGGCTGCGAGAGCAGAAAACCAGAGGCACCAACCACTTATATTCCAATTATTTCATTATTTTTCGCCTTTGGTACAGGCAGAAGCAAGAGGCGCTCATCCCCTGTGCTCTCCCAGCCCTAAAATCTTCCATCAGCCGCCCCAAAAGTGCCGGGGATGTCCCCAGGGAGCCCCCGGGGGAGGGGACCGGTGTTCCCCGCTGGTGACTCGGGAGGGGACACCTGGAAGGGGACAACAGCTGGGTTGGACCTCCCGGGACGTTAACATCTGAAAGTCCCGCTGATCACAATCCCGGTGATCTGCACTGGAATTCCTCTGAATTCTGAATTTAGAAAGTTGTAGCCACGGGAGGGTGCCAGCAGGAGGGATAAAAAAAATAAATTGCGTTTAACTCAATTTTATTTATATATATATATATATATATATATATATATATGTATGTATACACAGAGATATATATATATATATATATATATATATATATGTGAAGTATACATAGTAGTTTATGTATGTAAGTTAAAGCAAATAATTTTATATATTTATTATTATTATTTATTTTTTAACACGTGAACCAAACGCAGCGCGGGTTTTCCCCCCCGATTTTAAAGAGCCACTAAACCGGCATCATTTAGCGGGCGGGTTTATTGTGGGAGGTGAATTCCTGCTCACAGACCTGGGGCTGTTTTCACTCCTTCCCTCGGCCAGGGATAAAAACCCAACAGAAAATCTCCGCCCGGGCTCTGCCGCCGCTCCGACCTTGGGAATGACAAGCTCAGTTCTTTATTTGTCACCACGGAGCATCAGCCGCTCTCCCGCGGGGAAAAATGAGATTTTTGGGAGGCACTGACAACATCCAGGCAATGGCAGAGCTCAGAACGATCTCCTGGGGAGGCATTTCCAGCCTTGGAATTTTATTTCAAGTAGCTGCTGCCCTCTCAGCTGTTTCAGAGTCACGAGTCCACCTGGAAATGCCGATCTGGTTGTGTATAATAATCTGTATGATAATTTAATTTATATATTCAAATACAGAGCCAATTGTATAAATCGTTGCTGTTACTCCTCCTCCTGGCTCTTCCCCGTTTTGTCTGGCATTAATTGAATTTATAACAAATTAAATGCTGACCACCTGTAACTCTCATTTTACAGTTCAGCTATTTCTGAATGATGAATGCTGAAGGTTTTAATAAAACCACATTTGCTGCAAACCTTTCTTTTTTTTTTTAAGGGTTCTTAGACTGAGATTTTCCATGTGAATTTTCAGCTTCAGTGTGCTTCCCTGTACATGAAATTTTGGGATGTGCTGCAGTAACAGCAGCATTGACCCAAGTTTATTAATGATTCAGGGTAAAGCAATTGCAATACAACAATATTTAAAGCAAAATTGTGGCTAAAACTGCAATAAATTATTTCCCATTATAGTATTTCTACAAAATTTAATTTATGCTTAAAAAAATTGGGAAAGAGTAATCTGGTTTCAGTTATATACCGTAGAGTCATTAGTAGGCCAGAGAATAATTTGGAATATTTTCTTATTGGGGTGGCACTAGAGGTGCATGAAGTAGACAGGATTTTATTGCTTCTCTTCCAGTTCAGTGACTTTAAATTGATTAAAACAGGTGGTTGTTTTACTTATGTACTGTAAAAATTATTTTTTCTCTTCCAAAGATATTTTCCAGTGATATTCACATGTGGGAATATTCGCTGATATTCAAATGCCACGTGTTGATCAAAGCTTTCTGTGCTGGGTAGGGATAATGCAGAGTTTTTGCTACCAGCTACTCCTGAAAAATGCCTGAAATTGGGCACTGAAAAATCAAGGGTCCCCCAAACTGAGAGGTTTTGTATCCAAATCATGGCCAGTTTTGGCTGAGCTGTACCACATTATTTATTTTTTCTCCTATAAATCATATCTGACTAAATCAAACTTCAGTTTTTACTCACACAGGCAATATTTGCCTCCCAGCCAATATCCTGTCAAGGAGAATTTGTAGGATTGGATCTCAACTTTGTGTTGGTGGAGGTTTGCAGACTGCAAGGATAAAACTTTATCACACTCAAAGAGGGATGTTTGTGCTTATTAATTTTGGATGCTGGCAGAGGATGAAGTTGGTCAGCTTGATTGGGGTTTTTTATGTCAGAAAGTCCCTAAATTGAAGGGAGAGATCATTTATACACAGCCACCCTTGAATTCTTTTTTTTTTTTTGGAAGGTAAATTCCCTTTGAGACTCAAAGAGAGATATTTGTGCTTATTAATGTTTGGATGCTGACTTTTTCTGCTTTCTTTTTGGAAGTTCACATTGTCACAGAGCAGAGAGCACAGTCTTGAAAATGCAGCCAAATCTCAACGTTGCTCGTGGTGCCATGAAATAAATTGCAAATAGCAGTGAGCTGGGTCTGCCAATTATGCCATAAAAAATGGCTCAGGTAGGGCCTGACTTCCCCCTGAGCACCACAGAGCTCAGGATTTGGGCTAAGCACTAAAAAAAAAGCCTGAATCAACAGTAAAATATTCCCTGAAATTGCAGCAGCAAAGCTGCATCTGCAGGGAACGAGGTGGATTTCACAATGAGCCTGAGTTTAAGGGAACAAAAGCAGATAAAAGTTTCTATTCCTTCAATTTTACGTTTGTTGAAGTCAGAAATCACCCTCCAAAATACATTTTTTTCCCCACTGTAAATGCTTTAAACGGATTTCTTGCTGCTTACCCTGTGCATTTCTTTTATTTCAGACTTTGGATGGCTTTGTTTTCGTCGTGGCATCCGATGGCAAAATAATGTACATTTCTGAAACAGCATCTGTGCACCTTGGCCTGTCCCAGGTATGTGCTCTGACACCTAAAGCAGAAATAAAATGCAATGCTAAATACAAATTTGGACCCTCACACTGCTGCCTTGCTTTTATATAAAGTTGGTTTTTTGTTTTTTTTTTCTTTTTTTCAGGGTTGTTTGAAGCTTTTTTCTCCTTGAAAAGAGCTTTGGTAAAAGACTCAAATTTCCTTTCCTTGCCACCACATCACCCCTGTCTTTATATCTGTTCTTGTTCATTGTATTTTACTCCTCATTACCTTTCAGAAGGGCCATAAATAATATGATATTGCAAATTGCAGCTGGAAAGCCGAGCGTGGTAAGGCAGCAGGGCTGAAATAAAACTCAGAATTGGAGTCTGGGAGCCTTAGATTGTGTCAGATATTGAGGCTGCCTCTGAAAGGCACAGAAATCTGATGTGGAACAGGGGGTTTATGGTAAAAGTGCTGGAGGAGGAGAAAAAAAATAAAATATTTTTAAAAAAAAGGAGAAGGGGGGCAGATTTATGAGTGTTCACATGGAATTCAGGGCAGTTTTTCCTGAGTTTTTCCAGCTCAGTGGTCTTTTCAGTAAAGCGTTTTATATGGTTGTGATAGAACTCATAAAACTCAGTTTACTACTGTTCTGCACCAGAACTATGAGGGGGTTTTATGTTTTTGGGTTTTTTTGGTTTTTTTTTTTCTCTTAGATGGACATTTCTAATTTTTTTTTTTTTTTGGATAAGCAGAAGGGCAAAGAGCCTGAATTTATTGCAGAAATTGACTTTCCATGCTTTTGTTTGTAGCTGAAATTCACTGGTAGCACCTGACCTAAAGTTTGCCAAAGTTCCATTAAAAAATTCCTCATTAATTTCAGCAGGCCCTTGATGAGACTTGTAAGGAGCTGAAGTGTCCAGTTGTGTATCAAACATTTATAAATAAATAAATGAATTGAAATAAAGCCTAAACAGCAGAAGAGATGAGGCTGAGAGAGAGGAGAATATTCTGAAAATATCTGGTTAATTTATCCTGTGGCTGTTTCCATAAACAGAGAGGGGGGCTTTAATGGTGGGGATTATTTGTGTATCTTAATTTTTTCATAGTAATCCATATTTTTAATTGAAAAATGAAGTGGAGTTCTTTGGATGTGTGTTTATAACAGTGATATTAGAATTAGTGGCTATGAGAGAAAATAGAACTCAAGAGGTAGAGAAAACAAGGATATAAACCCATAAAACCATTTCTAAACCCCTGTTTCTTGAATGTCTTAAAAAAAAAAGTAATTTTGGTAATAAATAGCCACCATAAATACTTTTTTTTTTACCTGTTAATTTTAAAAATATGAGCAGGAAACATTCAGAGTTCTGTTTGTTCACTCTGTTATAGTACAGTTTTAGTTGTTTCACAACATTTAATTCATGCTCAAATTCCTTTAAATCTTGTTTTGCTTCAAAATAAACTTCCCTACACAAGGGCCCTCTTTTCTACTCATTTTTCAGCCTGGGTTTCTCTCACCCTGAAGTTTTAATCCTGAAGGATTCAGGATTTTACCTGCTAAAATCCATCCATTTATTCAGTGCCATTATCCCAAAGCTCTGAGCATTCCTCTCCATCCATCCTGGAGCAGGAATTCCCTGTCCTGTATATTTTTCTCCCAAAATTTTCCAATTTTTGCCCAGAAATTGTTCTTTTGGAGGAAAATCAAGCTACCAGATCTTGTAGGTCTTGGTACTATTATTATTATTATTATTATTATTATTATTATTTTTATTTTTATTTTTATTTTTATTTTTATTTTTTTTTATTTTATTTTTATTATTATTAACCCAGTTATTTGGTACCATTAAAGAATTATGGGATCAATGGGACACTAAAGAGACTTTGGCACGTGTAGGAAGAGGGGACTGGCAGTGTCACAGAAGTTTTAATCCTATTTCTCCCTCCTTTTCATCTGCACTGACTGAATTCCATGTGCATGGAAATATCTCTAAATCCATAGTGCAAGAGGTGCTGAGCAAAATCAGGAGGTTTGGCCAAGTTGTTTTTTTGAAGGCAGTTTAATCAGCAAAATCCCAAACCTTTCCCTTCAGCAGAGGTTTGGAACCACTGAGCTTGAAAGTTGTGGGATTTGAAATTTAAGGGATCCTCAAAACAGAAAAATTCACAGTGAAAAGGGCTTTATTTATAAAATATATTTATAAACAAAATCTTTAAGTTAATTTTTAATTTATTTTAAATTTATTGATAAAATCTCATCCTGACCTATCACCAATCTGTTCTTGCTCTGCCTCAATATTCTCTTTTTGAAGGGATAACTTTGCTTTAAGCAGCACCAGCACTAATTTTGGGCTGCTCCCACTCCTCAGAACACAAATCCATTTACCCCGGGATATTCCTGTCAGCTCCCAGGGCCTCCAAAGGAGTTCTTGTTCCCACTCCTGTGGAAATCCTGGGATTTCTGCCCCTGCCATCAACCAGAACGGGCTTGGGCAGGAGAAGTCAATTCACCCAGCCATAATTCCACATTTTATTTCCAACAAGAGCCAAAGCAAGCTGAGAGCAGAGTGGTGGTGATTGGAAAAACTCCTTCAGAGTGGGCACAGAAAGGCCTTTTTATTAAATAATTTGACAATTAACCAGCCCACACATCAACTTCCAGCTCGAGTGCCATTTGTTTAAAAATATATGGTTCAACTAAATAGAAAAGCCATTTAAAAAGATTTTTGCAGACTATTTTTGGAGGCCTGCTACAGTGGCTTTTATCTTCTGGTTGAATTGAGCTTCAGCAGGAAGAAATTAAAGCTTGAGAAAAAGCCAGGCTGGCTAAACCCGTCATAAATTTAAACCCAGCATTAAGGATTGGTTTTAAGCACGGCTTTGCCTCAGAAACAGAGTTTCTGAAAAATCTACATCTTCATTTGTGGCCCTGCCACTTCATTTGTGGCTTTGGAGTTTGATTTGCTCCCAGCTGGAGCAGGGAAATGGTGAATTTTGCTGTAGGACCCCTCCTCCAGCTCATCCCAGCTGGCCCCAGCCCAGGGATGAACTGCCTTCGACTGCTTGGGACAGCCAATTTCTTGCCTTTTTTTTTTTTTCCATGGATAACAAACAACTTCAAATTCCCCAAATATTTTTCTCCCCCTCAAAGTCCAAAGGCACAAAAAAGAAAGGAAAATCCTCTTGGGGAGCGATGTGGAAAGAGAAATTTTAATTTAATTTGAAGGTCTGGAGCTTATTCCAGCAGTTTTCTGGATCCGTGAGGGAGCCAGGCTTATCTCTGACTTCTGATAAATCTTGAAATATTTAACCACAAATATCTGAACTTTTCCAGGAGTTTATTTTGCTTTTATCCAATGAGTCTATGAGAGAAAAAAAATGTAATTATTTGCTCTAGTATCCATCCACTTAGTCCTGTGTGTTTATTATGAATCATTCCTTGGCTGGGGAAAAAAAAAATAAAAGAGTTGCTCATAAACCCCCTGTTAGTAGGAAATGCTGAGATTTGGCATTTACAGCTATTAAAAACTGCATCAAGGAAGTTGCTTTAATAACCCGAGGCATGGGGGTTTAGCTTTATGAATTGAACTGTAGAATTTCTGTATTTTTAAAGTTTTCAAGGTTTCATTGTGGGCTTTGAAAGAGCTGAATGTGCCTAGCAGGGGGTGAGACTCCAAATTATGGACCCATATTTTGGTTATTTGACTCTGCCTTAGCCCCCATCTCTTTGCTGGTGGTTTTATGTTTTAAAGGCAATTTTGAAAGTCAGTTTTGGGGTCAGTTGTTGGAATCCGAAATGCAGGGAACTCTCAGAACTTTGGGCCTGGAAGCCAAAGCTTAGAATGAAACCCAGGATTTGATCTGAGACCTTGGAAAAGGCTCCCAAACTGAGGAGCTGGAAGGGAGAATGTGGATTTGTAGTTTGAAGAAGAGACACACTGAGCTAAGTAAAGGAAAGTTTAGAGTTTTAGAGTTTAAGATATAAAAATAAAAGCAGTTCCAGAGGTAAACAAGGAGCTCAGAATGCAGCACTGTGGGTTTGTGTGTCAGAACATGATTGGCCAAGAAAGCTCACACTGTAACATGGGTCCATATAACAAAATATTTAACAATTGGGTCAAAACATAAATATCCTTTGTTTTATTGGTCAATAAATCCTTAAAAAAAAATCTTCTAAGGGTCTTGGGACCTTCTGAACCATGCTGTGAAGATGTGAGCTGAACTCACTCTTCCTGCCTGTGGAGAAGATAAAAAAATAAATCACATCACCTAAAAAACTCAGAGTTCCCATCCCTAACTCATTCAAAATTCCCAAATGTGAAAATCCCCAAAGTCAGTGCTGTACCTTTACCTCCTGCTGATTTTCCTGGGCTTGCAAAACCAATTAGAATAAAACTCTTTTATTCTAATAAAATTAGAATAAAAATCTTTTCAGTGTTTATTACAAGGAAACCAGTTATTATCGCACAAAGAATTTTAGGCTTGAATTTTAGATGTGACCCCTGGGACAAAGAATGAAATGTTGGATAAAATTGTGACCTTTGACCCTTTGAATCCTGTGGGAAAATGTGCATTTCCATCAGGAATCATTTTAAAATAGGTGATGCGTTTGGGAAAAGCAAGAGTCATCCATGAGTTACAGTTTTTAAGAGAAAACATCAACTACAGTTGATGGGGTTGATCAGCTTGATTGGGGTTTTTTAATGTCAGAAAGTCTCTAAATTGAAGGGATATTTAGAGGGATACATATATATATATACACACACTTTATTTATTTATTTATTTATTTATTTATAGGGAATTTATACACAGCCACCCATGAATTCTCTCTTTCTCTCTTTTTCTTTTTTTTTTAATTTTTTTTTTTTTGAAGAAATTCTCTGCTAAAATTGGCTCTTTCATTCCGAGGGCCAAACATATAGGGAAAAAAAAAAAAATCACTCTTAACCAAAGATAAAATAATGAGAAGATAATGAGATAATGAGAAGAGGGTTGTAAGTGATGCTCCTTGGCAATTTTGTAGTGTTCTGAAAATGAAATGTCCATCACCAGAAACATTTTTAGATTTTTTTTAAATGTAGGTGATCAGGATATTTATGAAGACACCTACTGACATTTGCAGGAAGTTTGTCCCCTTGTAATTAGAAACAAACAAACAGAAGAATTTCCAGGCATGAGTCACAGGGAGATTTTGTGTTTTCCTTCCTCCCTGATACAAAATTTTATGTGGGGTGTTCCTGCAGCAAGCCCCTGCCTGCTTCTGGCTGAAAAGGAGCAGCCAGTGCATTTCAACTTTTAGAGAAAATTACATAAATGAAGCAATGTAGAAAATCCCCTTCCCTATTCCATCTTTTTCTTTCTTTTTCTTTTTCTTTTTCTTTTTCTTTTTCTTTTTCTTTTTCTTTTTCTTTTTCTTTTTCTTTTTCTTTTTCTTTTTCTTTTTCTTTTTCTTTTTCTTTTTCTTTTTCTTTTTCCCTTTCTCTCTCTCTTTCTTTCTTTCTCTTCTCCATCTCTCCTTTCCTTATTTTTTCCCTCTTTTTTTCACTTTTCCTAGCTCAGTGACTTTTCAGTCCTGTTGGAAGATCAGCTCACTGGTGATGTTTTTGTGCTGTTGGAAAGGAGCAGTGGAGCAGTAGGTGCTTAGGGGAGGGAAAATAAAAAGCGAGTTTGCACAGCCCTGGGAAGGGACATTCCATGAATAATGCAGAAAATGGAAGGATGAGGAACATTTTCAGAAAAACAAAAAAAAAAAAGAAAGAGAAAAGATTGCTTTGTTGGGTCAGACAACTTCATTTATTCCAAAGAAAAGGCAACTCCCAGGATCTCAGAGAGGAGCAGGATTGGCTCAAGGATGGCTCCAATTACTGCACCTCCGATCTGGGGGGCCCGAGGCACATCGGGCAGCTCAGAACAATTGACACTCATTTCAAACCCAGCAATGGCAGCAGCCTTCTGTTTTCCTTTACATTTAAAAATTTTTAATTTTTTTTTTTTTTGAGATTTTTACGAATTTTAAGCCAGGAGCAATTGACTGGGATTAATTTCTGTGTCAAAAGCAAATAATTTCACAATTCTTTCTGTTCTTCCCAGATCAATTCCTCATTCTCTGCAGCTTTCTTTGCCTTATCCTACATTGTAAGGAAATTCAGGAGAGGATAAAGGAAAATGATTTTCAGTTTTTGTCTATTTATGTGTGCTTTGTATCAAATGTTGTGTGGCAGAGGAAATTAATCTATAAAAACCTCAAAGCAACAACATCTCCTTTGGATTCCCAGACTTGGAGAAGATAAATAAAAGAATTCTGCTCCGTTTCTAGATAAATTCCTCATTTTCTGCAGCTTTCTTTGCCTCATCTTACATTGCAAGGAAATTCAGGATAGGATAAAGGAAAACTATTTTCAATTTGGGTCCATTTATGTGTGTTTTGTATCAAATTTTGTCGAAAATAATCGATAAAAACCTCAAAGCAACAACATCTCCTTTAGATTCCCAGAATTAGAGAAGATAAATAAAGGAATTCATCTCTGTTTCCCCCTTAAATCCATTCCTGCAACTTTTGGGGACTTTTCTCAGGGGTTTGGGGGGTGCCAAGCAGAGCTGGCAGAGGGGACACAGGGGGCACGAGGCCCTTTTTGGGTTTTTGTGCCACTGTTACCAGTGGGAAAGGCAGGAGCACATCTTGTGCAGGCAAAGTTCAGGGCAGGACAAGGAATACACAAATATTTAAGGCAGATCTTCACTGTGAGTGTTTGTCCAGAGCAGTGAAAATCCATGGAAATCTGGGTTTTTTGGGTTCTCTCAGAGGCCATTTGTGTACCTTAATTTTTGTAGCAAAATTTTAATTGAAAAGAAAGTGAAGTTCTTTGGATGTGTGCTTGTTGGAACCCTGGCTGCTGAGAATTCCAGCCTTTCTGTGCTGCCAGGCACTGACCCCCAGGAGAACACTGCACTGACCTGAGGCCCTGGAGAAGCTTCCAGAATGGAATGGCAGAACTGGGATTGTGGGTGTGCAGTTTGGATAGAAGTGTGTGATATCACAGGATGGGAAACTCAGAGTTTAAGGGTTTAGAATACAGGAATAGATAGAAAGCAGGATGGAGGGTTTAGGGTGGAGGCTTCTTCTTCTTCTTCACCATTTTCTGCTCCTTTCTTCTTCTTCTTCTTCTTCTTCTTCTTCTTCTTCTTCTTCTTCTTCTTCTTCTTCTCCTTCTTCTTCTGCTGCTGCTGCTTCTTCTGCTTCTTCTTCTCCTGGTTCTCCATCTTCTCCCTGGGTTTGGGTGGTTTTGTGTAATTGGATAAAAAAGTCCCCATTGCAGGTATGGGTGGTTGGGTTTTGGGTTAAAAGTAAAAATAATTTAGGTGTCATTTCTTAATTGGACAGTTTATCCTTAAAAGGCCTTGCAGAGACAGAGACAGGGCTCCATTTTTAGTTTGTTGGAGTGAAGTGCTGCAGAGCTCAGGGTTTGTGAGACTGTAACAGAGAAAAGAACTAATAAACATCTGAGTCCCAACAAGAAATTCCATCTCACACATTTAATCCCGACCTTGGCAAAAAAGAAGTTAAGATTCACCATGTGTTTATAACAGTGATATTAGAATTAGTGGCTATAAGAAAATAGAGCTTTAGAAGTAGAGAAAACCAGGATATAAAACCATAAAAACCACTTCCAAACCGCTGTTCCTCGAATAGCTTTAGCAAAAGAAATTTTGGTCCTGCTGGGGGTGGGAAAACACAAAGGGATTGTGTGAGAGCAGGTGAGAGCTTCTGGGAACCTGGAGGAACATCATTTTTATTTTAATATTTGCCTTCCTGAGAGGCATTTCTACAGCTCCGAGTTTTCCTCCCGTTTGTGGCAATTGAACATTTCTACAGCTGCTCTAATTTATCACTTCATTCCCAGCTCTAACAGGAGCTCTTCTGTCTCTGATGCAACACCAGAAATTCCCACAAAAACCTCTCTAACATCAATCACTGCTGAGGAAAGAATTAATTGGGATTAATGGCTGTGATTTGGAAGATGCTTTTGGTACAGCCAGCTCATGTTTTAACACTGGAGTGTTTGAGGGCAGAAAATGATCCAGCTGCTTTTATTCCATGTTTTTTTTTCCAGGTGGAGCTCACTGGAAACAGCATTTATGAGTACATCCACCCCTCGGACCATGATGAGATGACTGCTGTCCTCACTGCCCACCAACCTCTGCATCCTCACCTCCTGCAAGGTATTTCTGAGATCTGCCATTAAAACACAGTGAAAAAATAATTTAAAAAAACAAATTCCAGGTTGAAATGTGACAAATTGCAACCCAAAGCATTCCATGAATCCGTAAGTTTTTACATTTACATTTATGTCCATTTTTCTTTATCCTGTTCAAAGCTCAAATGGGGGAGCAGCAGGAACTCAAAACTGTGATCCAGGATTTAATGTTCTTACAGGGAATAAAGTACCCTCAATTAAACAATGCCTTTTATGCCATGGAGCTTTAAAGAGGTTTTTATTTTAGCCCAGCGGTCATTTAATCTCTTTTATTTTATCATCATTGCAGAAGCTGCAGAAATCTTGTGGTGGCCTGGTTGTGCACAGCTCAGCTGCATGGTCTGAGTGGGAAAAAACCAAAAAAATCAGCTAATTGGGAAATGGAAGGATATTTTGAATATTTTAAAACAACTGTTAAATTCAAAGCTTGGACAAAAAAACCACCCAGACTTAATATTCTCCACTGGGCAGAGCAGAAATGGGTTTGGCAAAGGACTTGGGTTTAGAAAATCTCATTTAAAAAGTGACTTTTTGAGGAAAATCTTGTCCTCTTCTGCTGTCACCCACAGAAATATTGACCCCACCCTTCGTGTGTGAAATTGTCACCTCAGTGTTGCAATTTCTGTGTCAGAAACAAAAATATTCTCATTTTTTAAGTCTGTGCTTCCTTGGGGGCAATCCTTTGAAGTTGCAAAGACCAGAACCAGCCTGGCTCCACCACAACGGAGCTCCCACTTGTATTTCAGAATTGATTTATCTGCATTTATTGATTTAAGCTGCCACTTTTTGTCAGTCTTTTCCAAGCACAGCTCCTAAAAAACACGAGGAATTTTGGGTTCTTGCTACAATTTTGTTCAGGATTTTTTTTTGCAGTTTTGGTGCCCCTCTGTGATTCCATCAGGGCAGAACTGTAAATTCTGAATTCAGGGAATGTTGATGTGCCTGGGAGCACCTGGACTGCTCCAAATGCTGGAAATGCAAGAATTATCTCAGCCTCCTTCCCTTTTCTTCCTCCCCAAACAGTTTTTTTTTGGAAAAAAATCCCTCCCTTGGTGTCTTGGAAAGCAAACTCTTATTTTTCTCAAACTCCTCTTATGTGATTATTTCATACTTTGTTCATTCCTCTGTCAGAATTTTAAAAAAAAAATTGATATTTTTAAAAAATAGCATTTTTCTTCCTTTTTCCAACTTACTGAAAAAAGGAGGAGACACCTCTGCTGTAAATAATTTAAGGGTGATTTTCATGGTGGGACTGGATAATCTCTAAAGTCTCTTCCAGCCTCAATAATTCTGTGAAATCCAGGAATTTTCATTCAGCTTTGCTGATATCCAGAATTAGTAGTGAGATATTTTAATATCTACTGGCTTGGCAACGGCAACAGCCTCCTGTTTTGCTTAAAATTTAAATATTTTTCAATTCATTGTTGGAGATTTTTCCAGATTTAAAGCCAGGAGCAACCGACTGGGATTAATTTCTGTGTCCAAAGCAGATGATCCCACAATTCTTCCTGCTCTTCCCAGATCAATTCCTCATTCTCTGCAGCTTTCTTTACCTCATCCCACATTGATAAGGAAGTTTAGGGTTGGAATAAGGAAAGTTATTTTCAATTTTGGTCCGTTTATGTGTGTTTTGTATCAAATTTTGTGGAAATTAATTGCTAAAAACCTCAAGGCAACAGCATCTCCTTTGGATTCCGAGATTTGGAGGAGGTAAATAAAGAATTAAACTCTGTTTAGGTATTATTTTATGTTATTTTAGTTATTTTTATCTCAGTTCTGGAGGGAGTGTATAAAAATATCCAGAATCTACAGCTAAATCTTTCTAAAATGCACAGAATGAACAAATATTTATTTACTGTTCTCTTCCCCGTGCCAGTAATTCCCTTTCCTGCAGTGTTTTATCCATTCAAATCTTGAGGTATAACCTGAAACTACCTGGCCTGCAACAACCAAAGCAAGTTTTTTATTTAATCCAGTGAAGATTTAAAAACTATTGAATAAATGACAGGAATGAAGCAACTTCTGCCTGTATCTGAGTAGATATTTTCAATATTTAAGTAAAACATGGAGTTCTACAAATAACTTAAAGGGCAGTGAAGTGAAAGTGGCTTGATTTAAAAAAGCCAAGAGGAAACCAGACTATTTTAATGGCATTTTTTGTCATTTCAGTTGGATTTTCTCTCTTTTAATCTTTTAAGACACACCTGAATCATCAAGTTACTGGGTGGAATAAAAAATTTCCTTTTATAACTTTATTATCTTATAGATTTCTGCAATCTGGGGCGTTGCTTAGGAATAAAAATCAATATTGAACTGCACACACAGACTTTTATATCCCAAATTTCCAGCTTGGCTCACGGTTTTTGCCTTGCTCAAGATGATTTCTTCAGCTAAAACTCAGATATTTGTATCCATTTTTAGTCCATTTTAGTTGTAGCTGGATAAGACCAGTTTTGAGAGGAATAAAATCACAAATATCACAAATATCTGTGCTCTGTGATATTCTGTTAGTGGGATTAAATAACCCAGAGCATGGATTATTTTTGACCTCTGGTTTTAAAGTTTTTGTAAATTTTAAAGCTGCCTCTTTATTTATTTCTCAGGGAAATGCAAATAATTGTTTTGCATTTCACAATAATCTTAAACTTATGAAGAAGAAGGTGAAGACAAAGGACTTGTGTCTGCTATTTTCTTTTATATATAATTCTATGTTTTAAAACTTTAAACTCTATGTTTTCTACTCTGTGGTATTACACACTTCTATTCAAACTCCACACTTATAATCTTAGTTCTATTATTTAATTTTGGAAGCTTTCTCTATGGCTTTAGGTCCAATGCAGTGTTCTCTTGGGGGTCAGTGCCTGGCAGCACAGAAAGTCTCGAATTCTCAGCATCCAGGGTTCCAATCCATTCCAGGATTCTGGAATTAAGAAGTGACTTAATTATTGCATGCACAAATTTCCAAAGAAACAAAATACTGGGAACTAAAGTGTGGATTTAGATTGAAAAAACAAAAAAAAACAAAAACAAAATTTCAAGAACCAATATCTGTGCATTGAAACCACAAAAGCTCAAATCAGAATAATCACACATTTTTAACTGGGAGTTTGATCAGCCACAGGAAAAATATTCTGAGGGAAGCAGTGATTTCTTCCAGTTTTGATGTCTCCAGATCAAGGTTGGTGTCTTTGTAAAAGACAGAATTTAGGCAAAGAGAAGTTATTAAACTCAGCACAGGAGTAAAGCCTTTGATAAGGAAATTTAGGAGAGGAATAAGGAAAATTATTTCAAATTTTGACCCATTTATGTGTGTTTTGTATGGAATTTTGTGTGGCAGAGGAAATTACCTGCTAAAGACTTCAAAGTAACAGCAGCACCTTGGGATTCCTGGACTTGGAGAAGATATTTATACTTATATTAATTTTTATATTATGATATATTTATAGTATTTATATTATTTATATTTATGTTTATATTTGTAGTTTTAATTTATATCTTATTATTTTTATAAATTAATGTTTTAATATTTATATTTAATGACCTGAACCGCCCAGGTTACTCCTCTGATTTATTTCTCCTTCAGATTCTAAGTCTCCAGGCCATGGCTTAATGAAAAGCATAAACCCCATGAGCTGTGGAGGCTTTGGAGGATTTCAGCTCGAACTTACAAAGTTTTTAAGTTGCTTTTTCCTTGCATGACCAGCATAGAAAATGCAAAGCAATGGGTGCAGATCCCTTGCTGTGAGAGAAGCCAACAGCTGAGGCTGTTTTGGGTGTGCAGAGGGAATAATCTCCCTCTCATACACATTAAAAGTGGGAATGGCTCAGCAAATCACCGCGTGTGAGTCTTCAGGCAAACTTTGTTTCATTTTTAACTAAACAAATCCACTCTATTCAGCTGGAGTGGGTGAGCAGGAAAAATAAGAAAGAGGTAAATAAAAGAGGAGAATATTTTGATATTCTCCAAGCTGTGAGTGCTGGCTGTGCTCAGGTCCCAGATGATGCCCAATATTGCTCAGGTATTTCTGTTCTGCAGCACCTCGGGGTGTTTTGGGTTGGTTTGCTGCCTGTGAAGCCTCAACCCTGAGTTTCACACTCCGTGTTCCACCTGCACAGGCTGGCAGCAGGATTCCTGGGCCTCTCTCCTAAACCAGGATCAGATAAAAGCAAACCCTGCAAACCTGCAGAGTTAAATTTGTGACTGACCAGAGCCTGGGGCCACCTCCTCAGTGCAGGACCTGTCAGGGGCTGCTTGTGCTGCCCTGCCAAATGCTGGCTCATCCTGGAATATCCTGACTGGGGAGGGACCCACAAGGATCGTGGAATTCTGGCCCTGCCCAGGCCCCCAACAATCCCACCCTGGGCATCCCTGGCAGCGCTGCCCAAAGGCTCCTGGAGCTCTGGCATTCCCTGGGGAGCCCTGGCAGTGCCCAGCTCCCTCTGGTGTTGCTGAGATGGATACACGACATATTTCCACACACACCTGTGCAGAGATAACAATGGTTACTGTTGGAACCCTGGCTGCTGAGAATTCCAGACTTTCTGTGCTGCCAGGCACTGACCCCCAGGAGAACACTGCACTGACCTGAGGCCCTGGAGAAGCTTCCAGAATGGAATGGCAGAACTGGGATTGTGGGTGTGCAGTTTGGATAGAAGTGTGTGATATCACAGGGTGGGAAACTCAGAGTTTAAGGGTTTAGAATACAGGAATAGATAGAAAGCAAGATGGAGGGTTTAGGGCGGACGCTGCTCCTTCTTCTTCACCTTCTTTTCCTCCTTATTCTTCTCCTCCTCTTCTTCTTCTTCTTCTTCTTCTCCTCCTCCTCTGTTGCCTTCTCCTCCTTCACCTTCTTTTCCATGGGTTTGGGTGGTTTTGTGTAACTGGATAAAAAAGTTCTGCATTGCTGACCACAAGTAGTTGATTAAGTTAAAGGTAAAAATAATGTAAATATTATTTCTTAATTA